ATTTGCTCCGAGTTTTTTTCATTTCACTGCTGCAACATCCATATGCAGATGTAATGACAGATTCTTCATTTTTATAACTCATCAGATACTACAAATATACAACGTGGCGTGAAAGCCATCAGTGGCATGACAAAGAAATGACACTTAAAGGAATAAACAGGCAGCAAATTCAGAGGCCTCTGGCCATAAATCATCATTACATTCTGGAAAGGTCTGTCCTTGTTTGTTATATTGTGCAGCGGACATGAAGGTCAGCTTTAGCCTCCTAATACGGGCTTCATTTCCCAAGCTAAGCTGAGGAATGGTGAGTCTTCTAAGACACATTTCCTTTATCTCCATAACTTTCTGACCTTCACGTCGCTGTAAGACTATCTCCCCCCCCGGTGATATTGTTTGCCATGTCGACTGTGCTGCGGAGACACTATGCAAACTTGGAGAGCTAAACCTGTCCGAGCCACTACAGCCTGTCAGCACCGACAACGATCACCTAGCTGGCCTTGCGGCGCAGGTATGCACTGGCCTTCCGGCAGCTGTCAGTGTCACAGAAAGCCATCAATCCACATCTCCGCCACTGTCATTGCTGACAGGGCTCTGCCGACCACAGCCAGCCAGAGCACTGCATGGAAATGTGTCAATTTAGTTTAGCGTGCCACACTAATAGACACTCGAATTTGGGAGAATGCGCATTAGTAAACAAAAATAAACCAAAACGTCCATAGCCGTCTTTCAGGAAAATGAAGACAGGAGCAGAAAAACACAGGGAATAAAAAGAAGAAAAAACACACCTGCTAGCTTCATAGATTTAACAGGTGATCTACATAAACTCTATTAGCCCCCGCAAACAGTTCAATGCGTCCTAAATGTGCACCACCAAGCAAATGCTATGCGTAAATCTACTTAGATGTAAGTTTAAGAGTATGAAAATAGAAAAAGCATCTTGTAGAAGTTATATGCAGCCTACACTAACTTATTTTGAATTGCATTTAGTGAAATGAAATGCTTTTTTTTTTAGAGGAGCACACATTTATTTATGTAAACATGCCCTAGTTCATCCTCAGTGTGTAAAAGATTGACAAGGAAGATGCATAAATAGAAGCTGCAGGCCCATCATTGTCAACATGCCAACTGCTCTCTGCAGAGAATCAGAGACACGAGGAGACCTCGTCCCAGCAGGCCCTGCTGAACGTGAACATCACCTAGACAGCTTTTACCAGCAGAAAAAAAAAAGCTTCAGGCGTTAATGGAAGAGACCATTTAAAAAATGTTAAATTGTAATACAAATATAAGACCATTTGACAAATATTGAACAATAGACGGTACGCAGCAAGAAGGGTCTTCCAATTATTAAACATTTAGTTAAATATCTTTGAGATTTAGGACATAATACCAACGTTTTCTAATAATGTGCTCAGTCATTTTTAAATATCAATATACACAACTTCCAGCTGTTGTGTGAACAAAGACAACTGCATTTAGGATGATAATGATGTGTGTTCAATAGTTATATTAACACCTTGACAGAACCCATATTTCCACTTTAATATTCCCTAATGTTTGTGTCTACTAGCTGTCTGAAGCAGCCTAGTGGGCTTTAATTCAAATAGTAAAAACTTTGCAGGTAAAATTGAGTTGTAAAAACAGCATCTGTGGAGCCTCTTAATGTGTTTTTAAGGTTTCAATAGGTCCCTTTCATGAATGTTTTTGTGTTTCCAATTGAATGAATTAAATTTGAGAGCATAGCATTTTTACAGAAATAATTTCCTTTAATACATAAATCTAGTTGGATGTGATCTGATGTTTGGAGTCAGATGCAAACAGTTGATGTTCCCATAAAAGGTGTTGTAAACGTTTCAGGCTACAACCAATATGCTCTGGAACTTTATACTCCTCGGGTTGGCAATAACAATGTTCTTTGGAGGTTTATATGACTGTGGCACAAGGTGCTCCAACTCTGCACATCCTAAAAAACATATTTAATGTAAGCCTGAGAAAAGTTGAAAGTAAACATGTTAAACACAAAGTTTTTCACTATTTCTCTGTGGCAAAGCACCTGGGCAAATTGCCCGGACTACATAAAATGCTCAAACAACTTGTTTTTTGTCCTTGTTTGTACATTTCTATGTGACTTATGCCAAGCTGCATCGTGCTCAAAGCGGCATGTGTGCGCTCTCCGGCTCGGTTCACAGCTTAGTGGATTTGACTGGGGTACGCGCTTGACATGTGGGTGCAGACACTTGCCCCGGACGGGGGCACTGACCCCGGTGACGCCACTCGAGTACCCGACCAGAGGGGCCTGCTGCTCCTGACAAATGCCTTAGAGAAACAAAATCCAGATGCTCTTCCACGCTCCAACTCCTGTCAAAATTGGGATGCTAGTGGAAAAAAAAACTGTGATGGACCACGATTCTGAACCATTTATGAACAGTAACATTAGTTTAGGTTTATTCTGCAGTTTTCAACAGTTATTCCCACTGAAGTAAAGTCATTTGGGAAATGTTGAACATATGGTCAATTCGAAAGAATATGGAAATCCACTTAGATGAAATTAAAACAAATGGGGAGAGTGGGTAATGATTTCATAAGCAATTTCCCACATCAGGATTTCTAATACTTCATGAGGAAAACACATTTAGCTCTGCCCTTGTCTCATCTATCCATCATGCGTGTTGAATAACTGCACATATCAATGCACTTACAGAGGGTATAATCTCAAGTTTAATCAAGTGGGGAACAGGAGAAAAATCCTTTCTTTAAAAATAAAATCTGTTCTAAAAGCATTTGTCTGTTTTGCATCCCCCCACCATGGGTGAAATTCTGGCACATGCTAAATTAATTAAGCTCTCATTAAATATGCATTTCATTGTTAATCATTTGCAAGCGAAGAGGATTAGGTCGCAATTTGTGAAATTACATAAAATCTATCCCTTCTCAAAAATAGCCTCTTTAAATTGCAAAACACTACTATAAATGATCAAAATAAGTCCCAGAAATGAAATGGATAAATCCATTAGAGACATTGACTGGTACTTAATTCTTGTAATACAATAGCCATATGTATAGTCCGTCTGTCAATGCTTATGGGTTTTGTTTAATCTGAACTATAAAACTGTGCTACATTCCGGTCACCAATCTCATCTATCTATTGTCTGTCCGTCTCAAACCAAGGTTCGGCTCAAGGCTTGAGCTCACTTTCGGGCCATCACTTAGCCTATGACCTTTCAAATGCAAAATAAATGTGAAAAATGTTTGGACATTATTAATGGATAGGAAGAGGAATTAAAAAAAAGGCTCTTTGTGCCCAACACCACCTTATTTTTATCAACCTTCACGGAAAAAAATGGCTGCCGCTCGGCATGACATATGGATGTGAAAAGACTCCTCAAATAACTAACTCAACATATCTGAAGCACACATAGAATTTTCGAACAGAAAGGGAGACAAGAGCCAAGACTCTCAAGCCAAGGCTGTCAACTGATAAAAGTGGGGGAAGAGAAATGAATGATGTGCAACAACATGAACATCCTGCTATGTGTGCTCCAACCAAACATCTTAAAGAGAAAAGGAGAGAATATCAATCTGCTGTAACCTTCAACCCACTTTTGGCTGAAGATCCCGTTCCCATTCAAAGCATCCACTTACAGACCTCCGCATTTCATTGTCCTTTCTCTCACTGCATTAGAGACAAGTTAGTACACCGGACGGGAACTATTCAAGGTTCAATGAAAATGCGTAGTCAATGCAGGTAATGACCTTGCTGGCGCAAAAAAAGTTAGCTTGGGTTTTACAAAAGTATGTATTTCCTGACTGCCAAGGTCATTGCGATGGTGACTTTCCAACAAGCTAGGTGTGGGAGTGGAGGACAATCCCTACTATCTCCAAGGCTGCAGGCAACATTGCCCATGTCTTCCTTATGTTTTATTCATACAAGTCATATTATGGCATTGAGAAACTGGGATCAAAATCTGCTCTGGTAGAAATATTTAATATCATACCTACTTCCTCTGGTTAGCCAGCGTGAGAGAGGGGGGTAGACAGACGCCTTCAGCTCAGCTATGTTGGATTATTAAAAGTGAAGCTTTCAAAGAGGTCACTGCTCAGGGTAAAAAAAAAAAAAGAAAAAAGCTGTAGTATGCATCAATTATCTGGGAGAGTTTGCGGCACACGAAACACTGTCTTGTCACAATTCCCCATGTGGCTAAATCACAAGGAGGTCCTTGGCTGACATTTAGAAGCTGGTGAATTGTGGAGATCCCAGCCTGTTTGTCAAAAAAAATGGACAAAAGACCACGCTATCTTCTTGCGAAGCCCCTTCAGGCGTAAAATTCCTTCTCAATGTCATTGGTGTAACAAGACGCATCCAGCGCTGTCGGTCAAATGTCTGAACAACTACAACTTGTACTGATCAATACGTTGTTTACTGACGTCGCTGGAGGATGATGAGGGTAATTCCAGCGGCTGAAAACAATAAATACAGTGCGCTGCAGGCAAGTAGTCTTGGACGACGTATCTGTCGCGTTGCTTTCACATGACCAGCTATGCGAACAAATAACAATGGTACAATCTGGAGAGGCACTTTTATCCACTTTTGTAATGCAACCGCCGCATCCTGTCGTTAAACGTGAACTACAATAACTGCTTCTTTTACTAAATGATAATACTATTAGTTGTTGTGTTCAAGCTTTAGCAGTGCTGATGCATTTTATTGCAGGAGAGAATGTTTCTTTCTGAAAACAAATGAAAAAAAAAGAAGCTAAAAGTAGCATTAAGCCGTTTGTTTGGAAGCATTGTATCGGCTATGGGAGTAAGTATGCAATTCGTTTACTGGTAAAAAAGATGCCTCCCCCGCCTCCTCCACATTAAGCGTCTGCCTTCAGAGTTCAGATCCGTGTGAAGCACAATTCCATCAAACCCGCTTTCTATCCTCCTGTTCGCCTTGTCCTAACTCCCCACCTGCCTCCCCTCCTCTGTCTCTTTGGTGGCGCGGGGGAAAAGTGGCATACCTTTGTTCATGTCAATCAGCTGCTTCTTCTTCTGCTGCCGCTCCTGCTTCTCCCGCTCTGCTTTCTCCTTCGCCAGCTTGGCTCTCTTGATCTTCTCCTCCATCTCCCTCTTCTTGTGGTTCTCCTTCACTGCTTCCTGATGAGGCAGACACACACACACACACACACACACACACACACATAGACAGACAGATATAATCAGAATCTGTCTCCTGCCGCCTCCACTAGCATCTTTGCTACTGTATAGTGCTCAGAAGCGGCAACATGCCATGAGCAAATTCTTATTCAGTGATTTCAAAGTTTGATAGTTACAGATAAGCTGCTGAAAAAAACAACATATCATTCCTTTTAATACAAGCACATTTGTCTGCAAGGCTTCTGCACACACAGAGCTGATTTGTTGTCAATAATACATCAACATAGATTCATTTAAAAAAAAAGAAAGGGGCTGGCGAAACGTCTTACATATGTACCACGCTAGGATAATTCCTTTGACAACATCAGGGAGAATTTGCATGAGAAAAAAAGTGGCAGCAGTGTGCCATTATCCTCCGTCTCCTCCTTTGTGATGGGCTGAAATGTCAGAAGGGAGTCAGAAAAAGAGAGATAATCAACGGTACGGATTCGAGCCTTGGTGTCAGTTTGTTCTTGTGCCAAACTGGAAGCAGAGTAAGACGCAACAGTGTGACCTTTGGAGACAACAAAATGTTCCCTCATCTCGGGCCTGTGGCCCAATACTTGACAGGACGGATCTTGGGTGTCACGTGTGTGTGTGAGAGAGGCACGTGGATGCAACCAAGCCTGCGTGCTGGCATTTATGTTGTCCATGGGCATCTATGTGATTCTGCCCATCTGTGACGTTACCCCTTATGTATGCATATGGCTGTGTGTGTCAGTAAGTGAAGGCCTGGCCCTGTCTCCACTGATATAACCCCCCACCCCTCCCCCCCTCCTATCTAATGCCCCTTTGGTCCTTATGTGTGTGCCGTGTTGGCAGCTAAGACAGAGGGATTACCGGGATTGTGGGAAAGGAACAAGGAAAGAGCAGCTCATGATGCCAGTCAATAGTAGAGCTTTGCTCCATGTCCAAGGACACAAGCCCTCATTGTCACTGTCTCCTTGTTGGATGACAAGGGCAACGAGAGAATGAGAGAGAGAGAGAGAGAGCAGAATAATAAGAGGGAGTGAATGTGTTTTTGTATTAAGTGCATTCTGAGAACACAAGGAACATTTATCTTCGTAAGCTGTTGATGGACACTTAAAAATCAACCTACATTTATCCCCACACTGATGTTGTGTAAAGCCACTAGGGGTGTAACGATTCATTCACTGAATCGATTAATCGATTTATATTCGTGCGATCCAACTGAATTGATCTGTGCTCCGCAAATCGGCATTCCGGACGACATATATTCATTACAAATCGATTAAAATGGTACATAATCGATTGTATCGATACTTGGAAACTGCACATTGGATTTAAGTACAAAAACGGTATGGATGTGTGTTTGTTTGTTAGTTTTTTAGCACTTTAGACACGTTAAGCGTTACTGGATCCAGTCTGCCTGTCTGTGACGTCATCAGTACGCAGCGGCCGCCGCGCGAAACTCTGAACAACAACAAAACACAGCGTGGAGGAGACGACTGCGAGCAAGACATTTATTACAAACTAACTTATCGATCCAGCGTGTGGAAACATTTTGGCTTTTGCAAACACGGAGGTGTTCTAAATAAGTCGGTTGCTGTTTGTAGAATATGTAGAAGCCAAATAAAAAAAACACGGAAACACAACGAATCTTTCCGGCCATCTACTAAGGCGCCGTGGGATTAAACAACGGCAACAGTCAGGCACCTCTAGTAGCGTCACCGCTGCAGCAGCAGCTGCACCGCTGCAGCAGCAGCAGGTAACTCCAGCTCTGCAGACACCTCTGCAGGCCTCGCCAGCACCAAACTCAACATCACAGTAACAAGTTTAGCTGTAAAGACATGCGACCCTACAATGTGGTTGAAAATCCGGGGTTCTGTGAATTGATCCAAACATTATGTAATTATTGTGTAATGTTTACATTGAAAATGGCACTTGATTCAAATAAAAGATGAATACATTTGCCATTAATTGTTGTTTGCTTGTTTATCATATCCATAATTAATTTGAACCTGATTTCCTTACAAGAAACAACACGGATCTCGGAAACTTTGCCTGCATTGTCCAGTAAAGTTATTAAATCGATTTCAAGTCACTGAATCGAATCGAATCGTTCTAAATTAACCCAGATCGTCCATGAATCGAATCGACAAGCATGAATCGCGATTCGAATCGAATCGTTGTTAAAATGAATCGTTACACCCCTAAAAGCTACACCGTATGAGGGCAATTTACTGCACGCACTTTGCTGCTCTTTCGAATCGGAGCGCATGAGAGCTGGGATGTCATCAAAAGATCTAGCTTTTGTTCAAGTGATGGGCAGCACTGGCAGCAGCAATTTTGATTGATCCACTGACAGGAGTGAGGTCATTTTGAAAGTGATACCACTGCTTTGCTCAGGATCTGCAGCACGCATTGGGATGATGAATTATGCAGATTACAGATACAATCCTGCCGGCTAAACTTATTTTAAACAAACAACTAATTCTGACTGTAAACATGATTATGCAATGTAATTATGTTGCTCTAATCACACAGCACCACTAATTGCCATAGCAACAAAAGTGTTTTCAGTGATCAGTCATTTTTCCCTTAACCATTCTCTTTGACGGCTTCTACATTGCCGTTGGCAACAGCTGATTGTATCAGGTCTGTTTTTTTTTTACAATACTGTATATTGTAGGAGGACATACAAGAGATAAACAATCCTCATAGGATTTGCTTTCAAAAATAATCTTCAGTGCAGAGAACCAGATTTAAACCTCACCAGCACGAATATTGAATAATACATATAATATGAATAAATGTATGGTGTTTCATTTACTCTCATAAACTAAAGATCAAAGTACAAGATTTACAATATGATTTCCGCGGACGATAGAGAAAAACGTATTTTTGGCCCTTACACTGAATCATTATGAGTTGCATGAGATCATCACTAGTTATACTGCTACTCAAGCTTATTGCAGTGAAAACCATCTACTTCCTACATGAACTCCTAATTGAGCAAAACAAAGTAAAAATGATTTGACACTGATTAATTCCCACAGTCTCATTACGCATTAACATCTGTGGTATTGAGACATGATATTATTAAGCAGCACAGAATAATATAAATATTATAAAATAAATCAAATACTTCGGATGAATTATTATGTTTTGGGGGGAATCAATCCGCAGCTCCTTCAGTTCACATGTAGACGTGTCATTGGGGGTGATAATGAACCCCCGAAATTGCACCTCGCCATCTGCCTCTGCGAGTTTGTGTGTGTTTGTGTGTGTTTGTGAATGAACATTTAAACTAGATCCCGATCAGGTTGCCATCCGTATAAAGCGCTTTGCATCATTGGATGTTTTGTTTTATGAAAGCAATTCCATTTAACATGGAGATCCAGCCTTTGATTTCAATTCAATACTGTTTGCACAATATCACAAATCAAAAATGCCCCCAGAAAACATCATCCGTCCTTAGAAACAAAATATGAAATACATTACACGGCCTTCGTCGTGGAATGCAACTTGCTTAAGTGTATGAGTGTGTATGAATGACTGGTATTGTTAATGTTTCTTAGTTACTTGGGCTGATATTTTGGCTTTCAGTACAAGAGATGTTGGCAAGAAGAAAGAAAATTATTGAGACACACTTTGTTTTCAGTCCTGGCTACCAATCAAGTCAAATGGAGGGTTGTGTTTCTCAAATAATAATTATGATTCAAATGTGATAAATACAGCATGAGAAGTGGAACGAAGGATACAATAAAAAAAGGCAAAAACAAAAGCGCTTCAAACTAACCCAAACAAAACAAAAACATGGGTTCAGCATGATAGTGCCTTAATGCCAGCTGGGGCTGTCAACAACACATTTATGTCTGTCCATCTCACACAGCAGAGACCGTGAGTGTGACACAGCACTACATTTCCACTCGTGGTCTCTGATGTGTCTACGGTAGAGATTAAAAGTACCCGACTATCCACTGTAACCAATGGAAAATGAAATATCGTACAAAACCCACCAACCTTTATTCGGGGTCTGTTCTTTCAATAATCCATGGGATGCATTTGCCGCTCTCCCTTGACCCTGCACAACACAATGCACCTCCCACGACACCGCTCCCGTCCATGCTCACAGGTTTGCCACTCCAACGAGGGAGCGATGCGTGTTTCCAACTGTTCAGATGCACCAGTGATCTCACACAGAGAGTGTCACTGCTACATCCCATTTGAATTTTACACGCCACAGCGCTGTGGCTTAAAGCAGCCAATGTGTTTATTAGCCATCTGTTACACTGTCTGCCGGGGTGTGGAGGGGAAGTGGCTTCAAGAAGTTACAGGTTACAACTTGTGAGATTGATAGGTGACCTCCAAAATCTGGTCCGATGAGTTTTATGTGTCGCGCTCGCAAAAAGAGACAACCATGAGGGAATCTGGCAGTGATCTAGCAAGAAGGTGGGGAGAGTTGCACTGCAAGGCATCATCTTCAGTACTATTAGTATGATTATTTGCCATATTGTGAAGGAATTAGTGCGCTTCAGAAATATGAAGTGGGCTCAAAACAAAATCATCATTCTAATCTCATAGATGCTCTATCTTGCTACTTTGGGAACCCGGTCCGGATCTCTTGGTCTTATTAGAAAGTCACTCAATTAACAAGGACGACTGGTAACTCATCACAGCCCATCTGCTGTGCTTTGATAACTCATTAATGGGAAAATCCTCATCCCCAATGCTCCTGGTCAGGATTACACATACAGCGATTGCATTTCACTCATGCTGCATTTCAGAATATGGCAGCAACATTAAATTAAAAAAAAAATATTGGAGTCTTCGAATACTGTCTCCATTTGCAGGAATGAAATAGTATTTCATTGGACGCAGGAAAAAAAAGAAATGGGATGTGAGTGAGGGAGGCGAGAAAGAGAGATGAAACAGAAGGGAAATAGAGTTAATGGATTCTCTTATCAGTTACATTCACTTCTGTGAGGACTGTCTGTCAATGCGTTTACTCAAATGCTCATGTCGGTCGGGAGCATTAAGCCCGAGCTTATTAATGAAAGCAATTTAAGGTGACTGTATCGCAATGGCACTCTTTAATACTGTGGATGCTTTGTGCTGTATATGTATTACACAGGGCCAATGCAACAAAGACAGAAGTGAGTGAACACGTTCTGTCAAACAACTCAATATTGGAATAAAAGTCTGACGCACTCCAGGCAAATCAAGAAGTTAAATTCAGGCCTCCCCGAAACATTACCTGCCAAGATGTCATAATATCCGTTAGATTTGCCATTTTGGAACAATCAGTGCTGGTTGATGTAGGTCAAATTTCTCAAAGAAAAATAACTTGCAGGCGTCTCCCCAAAATTCTTTCACTGACAAAAAAAAAAGCTGCGGAGGATGCTGCAAGGGAGCTCGCTCAGTGATTTTCACAGAGTATGAAAATGAAATGAAAAAACATTCAAGTAGAAAAAAACATTGATTCCTTGTACTCTGTAAGCAGATGGGATTAGCCTTTCTGTCAGCATAGCGGAGGAGCCCAAAACTATAAATAATATCTGAAGAATATGGTGATTAAAGGATTGTTTTTATATGAATACATTAACTTATAACCACTACCCCCTCCTTCCCCTTCCGCACCCATTTCAACAGAAGAACACTTTATCCCACTCAGTTCCCTCCCCTTATCCATAGCAGGAAAGTTTAAATCAGTAATAAAATATTCATATCCAGCTATTTGCTTGAGAGAATAATTTATTTCGCTGGGTGGATGCCTCTTTTAGAGATGTGCAACTCTGAAGTCCTTGAGGGAGAGTTGTGTTGTGTGTTTTGTGCACTTTGATCAGTGGGAATGAGGAGGTTTTTGCTGGGTAGGCCCTACCATCCACATAGATGGATTGAGAATACCGAGCGCATGCCCTCTAGAGACCGAGTCTTTATCCCAAAACCAAGAATATTTCGGGGGGGGGGCGGGTGCAAGGAACGTAGAAGGTGAAAAAAAAGATAGATTTTGTGTTATATGGTTAGTTTTTTTTTAGTATAGTTTTTAGTTATATATAGAATTGTATTTGTTCTATAATTCAAATTTAAGTAGAAGTACATACAAGACGTATTTCCCCAAGCCATAATAGTATAAAACTCGCAGGTAGAGAAGGGACTGCGTTGTCAACAACTTTAAAATCCTACCCCCCTTTCTCAACTCATTACCCCATACCTTCCAGCAAGACCTGTGATGCTCTGTGCTGATGGACGCAAGCTAATGAAACTATGTTTAAGCGGTAAAGCAGCTTGCACAAGCCTTATGAAGCTCTCTTATCAGTTAGACAATAAATACACAAACTATTACACCTTTTTTTTACGCTATTTTTTTTTACTATGTACGTATTAAAACAAACTCTCAATTGTGATACTAGCTTCTTAAGTCTCCAGATTTAAAAGCCAGCACCAGCGTGTTGATTGCATATTAGCAAAAAGAGAGTAACTATTTTACTTTAAGTTAAGACACTTCACACAGAAGTTGTACAAACATTTAATAAATGGTTTACTATAATGCAGTTGGGGCCAAAAGTACAATTCAAGAGTTAATTAAAGTAATATACTCCTAAGCAATCAAAATGTCTCCTATTCACACAAATCATATATATCATCTTGCATTGCAACTGTGTTTTACTTTACTGTCATTTAAAATCGGTTTCCACAGCAGCCTCCAAATACAGGGAACCCCAGTAGAGGTTGTGCTTGTCCACAAATGAATTATCAAGCACTTATATCCGCTAATTATTCATTTATAGACTGATGAAAGATAATAAAAAGGGGGATTTAGACGAAAGTGTTACTGAGAACCCATATCCATAACCTTCCAGACTACGATGCCATTGGGGAAAATGAAAAAGAAACACGTCTGTGACAAAGAAAACAAGGTTGCGTCTGGGACGAACACACAATAGAACATCTTTGACAGACGCAGCGGCATTATGACCTAAAAAGTGGAAGGAAATAACACGGCAGGTGGGAGCATGTGAGGGCTGACCAAGGGACTTTAAAGAGATCAATAGGTGGTGAGAAATTACAGTGCAATCTCCTTTACAGTCAACATCTTGCAGTTTTACAAGAGGAAGGTGAAATCAAATAACCCCCCTTCCCCACCCCCCCCATACTGCTCAGGTAAAATAACGTAGTGGTAGAAAGTAACAGATTAGCCCACATGTGTTGAATCTATTTAAGTCCAAATACTGTCCACAAAATAAATAGCTGTTCATCATTTAGGATTTAACTAAAGAAAATAAAAAACATTTACTAATTAATGAAGACGTGCAAGTGAGCCGTTGAGAGCATGCATGCAAAAAGGGACCCTGCTGGAAATCAGTTTCCATGCACATGAGTTAATAACACTATAATGTTTGCTAGGCCTTCCTGTAAATCTGAGGAAAATGTGTTCTGTTCACATTTCAGTGACACCCAAAGATTGCAAAAAGCAAGTGGAATTGTGCACAAAAGAATATGCTTGTGTGGGTGGTTGCTTTTGTTACTGTGTGTTTTACTGAACTATAAACATGTGACGTTTTTGTGTATGTGTGCCAAACCATAATCTCTATACTCACCATGAAGAGGATGCGGAAGTTGGCGAGTTCGCCGAAGAAATCCTCCACACTGACCGAGTGGGGGTCAAAGGCCAGATAGCTGCCGATGCTCTCGTAGAGTTTCTGCATGTTCTTGTGCATCGTGGACAGTTTTTCATACTGCTCTCGTGAATGTTTGGAGAAGTCGTGAGAAAGACACAGTTAAGAAAAAAATGGAGAAAAAACTACTATAAATCAATCGTAATCAGCAATATATGGACACCTCAGAAACATCTTTAAAAATGAAGAAAACAAGACATGTCGAGAAACTTGAGTCTGTATTGAATTGAAAAAGCCCACCTATGGCAAGGTCAACAAAACAAAAGATTGGTTGAAGAGGGGTCAGAGGCCATCTAATGTGCCATTACAATAACCTCTCCAACTCACTTTGGAGTCAATCCCATGGTGAGCTAATAGCTGCCGCGCTGGAATAATGGAAAGGTGTTTTGTAGTCAGCAGCGTGACACAAATGGTTGCTGGAAAAGCTTATTGCAGTCATTGTTCTATTGTTTCTCCCGACAACACCGGGGTCAGGTTGTTGTGAACCTCGCAGCTCACGCCGCACTGTGTAATTTACTGAACAGGCGAGCACTTTTCTCCCGGTGAATGGCTATTGACAGCCGGCATCGGTTCAGCGTTATCACAGCAGCCACTGACCTCATGGAGACTCTGCTGCATGCGGGTCCGACACTCAATTGCAGAAAGGAAACACACACACACACACACACACACACACACACACACACACACACACACACACACACACACACACACACACAGAGGTACAGCCAGCAACTTTAAATATACAGGTACTCACTTGCCAACGTAGACAAAAAGAGAAAACTACTCACAATACAAGCTCCACCAGCACCAGTTTCAACGCATCGACAATTTGAGCCCAATGACATTAAGTACGTTAACGTCAAAGAGGCCGCTAAGCGGTATTTACTCTGACAAGGAGGTTTGATTAACCCGACCGCTGATGTTTGAGTAATTAAAACAGAACCAACCGAGCAAGGCAGTAACAAATTCAATCCAAATTGTAACATTATACATTTTTTCTGTCATAAACATCACATCCACACGTGCCTGTAGGTGTGTGATGTATTTGTGCTCGTACTGTTCATGCGCCCACGTGTAAGTGTAACTAACAGGGAATAGAAGCACCGGAAGTTTAAGCTGGTTGGATTTCCTGTGCCAGTGTTTACTATAAACAGCAGCATCACTGGTTAGCAGGAAGCCCTCACACATGCTCAATGGATGGATCCTCCTGTCTTTCCTCTTCCCTCTATCCCTAGTTGTGATTTATCCCCATTGTTTTTGTCAGGCTGTCTAAAACTCTTTTAAACATCCAAACTGGACTGGTTTTACTGTACAGTACCAAATATACTACTGCACTGCCGTTCTAGAGTGGGCTTCGTATCAAATATCACACTCACCATTGGCCAGAATGTGAAAAAACCCTCTGTGGTCAACTGAAAACAAGCACCGAGAACAGGTTAATATCCAAAAGGAGCCACACATTAGTCCATCCATTGTCAGACCGCTTATCCTGCACACAGGGTCGCGGGGGGGCTGGAGTCCATCCCAGCCAACTTCGGGCGATAGACAGGGTACATCCTGGATTGGTCGCCAGCCAATCGCAGGGCTACACAGAGACACACAACCATTCACACTCACATTCACACAACTACGGGCAATTTAAAGTCCCCAATTAACCTGATCCCCAGAGCATGTCTTTGGACTGTGGGAGGAAGCCGGAGAACCCGGAGAGAACCCACGCAGACACGGGGAGAACATGCAGACTCCACACAGAAAGGCCACTGGGCGGAATCGAACCCAGGACCTTCTTGCTGTGAGGCGACAGTGCTAACCACCACGCCACCGTGCCGCCGTGACGCACTAATTTGCTGACGCACATTAGTGCGTCAGCAAAAACGCAGCAAAAGATGTTCATATTATTGCGTCACCTGAGTGATTGTTAAAGACATTTAGACATTGTTGATTCTGCCCCGCCGCAGAGTTCATAGTGCCTTAAGGTTAAAGTCACAACTGTTGCCGTCCTTGTAGAATGGTAGTTTAAAGAACGGCTGACTGGGCTTTTGCTCCTCGTATTTCCACATCAAAGACCTGTCATGCTGATCGAGCCTGACGCACAGCGTCCTGCAGCAAGACAACCGGTGTTCTGGAATCTTCATCTTATACTCATACAGACACAGAAAGAACAGGCAGACACACACACACACATATATATATATATATATATATATATTTATTTAACCGCACATGTGCTCATTCTTTGAATGTCTCTGTCAGCTTGTCTGTTAATCTTTCCTTTATCACAGTTCCTCACAGTCATTGTAGCATTTATTGTCGCTCCTTTTCCAAAGATAAATCTTTCTTTCTACGTCTCTCTATTCCTGTCCAGCAGAGTTGCTTTTAACACATTCCCTTTAGAATTCCTTTCACATTTCCCCTTGATGTTCTTACGTAAAGAATTGTCTCACTCAAGCAAAAAAAAACAAAAATCGTCTTTCTTTCTCTTCTACGCAGAGTGAACTTTCAACAGTGGGCCGTCTGAGCCGTGTCTGGTGTCCTCGTCACTTGGGCTTGGAGCAGTGCAGCGAGCGAAGGCGATGGCTCTCAGGGTAAAGACTCAGCTTCAGCCTTTTGGTCGCCCAAAGCCTGTTTGTCAGTCTCTGCTCTCCTCAGAGAAGTGCTGCACGTCCTGTGCGGTGCACCTCAACGACGCAAAGGAAAACAAGTGCTCCAGGGCTCGAGTTCACAATGCTACTATTGATTCAGATTAGTCTTTCTTGGATTAATCCTTAAAATGATTTCCATAGTGGGCCGTGGAATAACTGTAAGATAAACATCATCAGAGTTCAAATAGAGGCTTGTAGAATGGCAGCACGGCACTAAACATGACACACTATGGCTTGGCTTTAACAACGCCTATTTTTGACGGCGTCTCAAGAGACAGCGCTGTTTTGCAAAGACACAGTCAGCTGTGAAATGTGATGTCGTTGGCAGGTGCTCTACTAGTTCATGTATTTTAGATTTCTCTCTCTCTCCCTCCTTATATCCCTCTTTTGCCAAAAGGCACCCGATCCTTGTTAAAAGTCTCGAAATGAGTTACTCGTCCTGCCACAGTGTCCTCATTACTGTGTTTAATCAGTCACTTTTTATCTGTGTGTTTGACATGCCAAAAAGGGTACATTTAACATCAGTAAGCTCCGATTAAGGGCACTCATTTATAACGCCACAAACACCACATCAACATCATATCCAAGTCAGACTTACCCCAAATGCAGTACAAATAAAAAAAAGGCTTCTGGAGCCGGACTCTGTCATTTTTATGATATGATATGATAAGAAAAAGAGGCGAAATGAGTCAAAACAAAGTTTACGGCCACCTATGAGGACGGCGATACGCTGCCTGGTTTGTTTACCTGCGTGCATGAGAGAGTTATTAAAGTGCTGCATAACACGGACAACAAGAGCGGGGGCCCAAAAAGCCTCCTTAATAAATCTCCTGTAACCTAGTTGCATTCATGTTTATTTAATGCGTGTCCTATGTTCTCGCCGGCCCCTCCACCCAGGGCCCTACACTAAGCCTGCTTTTCTCCCAACGGGACCATCCCTGCTCCCCGGCCCCTTTATCCCCACACCTACTGCCAACAGCCCCCGTGGGCCAAATTACACCAAAGCTGCCCACTGACTGGACACAACCCATCATGTTGAGAGCGAGAGCAAGATGAGAGGGATGAAGGAATGGAGTGCACACGAGGGGCACAAAGTGGGAGAGAGAGAGAGAGAGAGAGAGAGTTTGTAGTTAGTAAAATCTGTGTATGAATGAACCAGCTCTGATTCAAGTAATGTTTGATGCCGTATTGTTTGTCTATGCTTCACCATAAAAATAAAAAAATCCATAGTATAAATAGTCAATAAGCACCGTGAGTTAATTGATAAGGTGTCTTCTCACTCTGGGATGCTAAGTGAAGAGAACGGGACCTCTCTGATGCTGACGGCGTCCTGAGCCAGAGCACAGGCAGTAGAGCTCTCACAGGGAATTAGCAGAGCAGCGGATTCCGGAAACGTTTGGATGGGACCTGGTACTGAGGTGAGTGGAGGGAGCAGGGAATGTCGTGAGGGCAGGGAATGCAGAGGGAAAGCAGGCAGGGCAGAAGGGATGGATGGATGGAATTATATCCATTTAAATGAGGCGGTTTATCGTTTAAAAGTGTAGACTCTAGATGTAGAGATGATTTCTATGAAAATGTTTAACATGCTGACATTAAGGAAATGATGCTCGCCATTGTATTCAGCATGCGAATACTTACTTCTATTCAAATTAGATGATACATTGATAATGTTGCGATGATCATCAATGATGTCTATGCATTGAGAAAATCCATGAAACGTGTTTGATATTTTTGATGGTTTGATAGGTAATAACTGAAAGTGGTGCAACATGAAAAGTCAGGGGCACCACACTTTAAATACAAAACACTTTGTGGTTAACATGGATTTCTGCACCAATTTCCACTGCAACCATTCCAATATTTGTTGGGGCATTCTACTCTGAATAAGTAGTTCATGTATTGGACAGACCAACCAACCAACCCAATGAAGCAGAATTATCCCTCAAAGCAGCCTACACGTATTTAAGTGAGGTTTATTTTACATGAAAATAATCAAATCTGTAACAAACTGAATGGCATATTGAAATCATACTACACTATGGAAATTGCTGGACATTGTCCAATGTAATCAAAGCAACGCCTTGGATGAGAATCGATTGCCTGCCATTGAGAAACTCTATCCTGCTGATCCGTCTTTGTCTCTGCGTGCAGCAGACACGGCAACCCCCCCCCCCCTACCTCCCCATCCCCGCCCTCCACCTCCCTGCTCCCTTTTGGATTACAGAATGTGCCAATGGATTGGTGATTACTAGATGCCTTCACCGTCCCCTCCACAGAATGTAATTAATGTTGTACTTATTGTGCCACTGCAGTGATGTCAGACTCTACCTTAACCTTGGTTCCTCCAATGCTTCCTCGGCTACTTTCTACACATAATTTAATTTATAATATATGTAGAGAGTGAAGAGAGAGAAGTGGATAGCATATTTATATATATTTAAT